TCTTCTGTTAAACCTGCTCTTTGACAGCCTTGTGTTATTCTTAACTTTGTTAACTGTCCTAGGCTGTCTTGTCTGTTTAATCTTGACAGTAGACCACTCACTTGCTTCATTACTAGCTCTTATTGAAGTGTTCTATATCCACCTAGATCCTTATGTTTTATTATGCAATTTTCTGCTGTTCTTTGCAAATTGCTTTTCTGCTTTGCCAAACATATTATTGGTTGATATATTTCATATATTTTCTTCTCTGAAATTTTAGTCAGTTGGAGCATGTAGCTTAGTTTTGGAATTATTACTATATTGTTTATATATGCGATCTGGCTTGCTATCATTTTTTTGTGTTTAAGATCTTTTATCGTTTGACTAACTATTCCTTTAGCTTTTTTTTTAACTAACACTTCTCGCATTCTGTTGTTTAGCCAAATTCCAAGTGATTGAACGATTTTGTTTCTTGGCTCTTCTTTTACATTGCTTTTGCCAAAGTCTATTTCTCTTTCTTCTCTTTTAACTTTTGTGTTCATCACTAGTAGCTTTGATTTTGATCTGTTAATCTCTATGTTATTTATCTTAAAGAACTCTTCAGCTACTTCTAGGATCTTTAATAACTGGTCTTTGCTATTTGCAATCTATGTTGTGTCATCTGCATATGCAATTGCTGCCTGAGTAGGTAGCAATATATATATATATTGCTACCTACTTACATTAGGTTGTTACCTACTTATGAGAATGACGATCGATTCATGTTTGCGTCGTCACTCGAATGATGAACGATTCATGATTGCGTCATCATTCGAGTGACGATTAGTTCACGAGTTCGTCATCATTCGAGTGACGATTAGTTCCCGAGTTCGTCGTCATTTGAGTGACAATTAGTTCACAAGTCTGTCGTCGTGACGAACGATTCGCGCTTGCGTCGTCATTTGAGTGATGAACAATTCATGCTTAAGTCGTCATTCGAGTGACGAATGATTCGTGCTTGCGTTGTCATTCGAGTGATGATTGGTTCACGAGTTCGTTGTCACACTTGGGTACTCACAACCTATAAAAAAATATGATGACGAATTTGTAGTCATGTCATTACACTTGGATACTCCACAATCTATAAAAAATATGACGACAATTTTACGTTTATGTCATCACACTTCTGCTATCAGATATGCTATATACACATTATCTGGGCATGCTACATTCATGCTATTAGGTATGCTATCATATGCTATCGGGTATGCTATATTTCTGCTATCAGGTATGCTATATTTACGTTATCTGAACTGCTATCAAATATGCGTCGCTTAATTGCTATCAGCTATGCTATCCAGCCATGTTATTGTGTAAATGCTATCAGATATGTTATATATAGCGGAGTTAGTATCTCTGACACATAAGAGGGCAGGTATATAACATCATTTTTTACTATAAATAAATCTGAAGTTTTCTACTGCGATATATACCCAAAACATATCATTGAAAAGGTATTCTTCTTCCATTTTTCTTATAATATATTACTGCACTTGAATACCCTTGATGATATACACGTGAAAACATATCTGAAAACATATCATTGAAAGGGTATTCTTCTGCCATTTTTCTTATAATATATTACCACACTTGAATACCCTGAACACATATCATCGCATCGAAACGGGTATATAACTTCCATAATTCTTATAATATATTACCGAACTTATATACCCAAAGTATTCACTAATCGAGATTGCAATTCTCTTCATTTATCTCACTAAAACTCGATGCAATTTTTTTGACATCTCTTACCAGGCATGAAAAAAAATAATTTAAACTTTTCTAAACTATTTTGTAATAATATAATCGAACAAAGATTGATACATACCAATAAAAAAACCAAATACCAAAAATGAGTAAACAAAGTGCACAAGTGATCCGGTATGGGGGCGGGGAAAGCGATGACTATTCAAGTGGGTCAGAAAATTGCAGTGATTATAGTTCCGACTATGAGTCAGATACTGAGACTACTATTAAGTCTCCAATACTCCAACCCTCCCTAAAGTAGAAGAACAAGTGTCTAATACGACATCATCCACCGAGCAAGTGAGTTCCACATATCCTAAATAGCAAGAAAGATTCGATGATAAATTTACACAAAAAGATGTGATGAATAAAATCTGTAAAATTGTTTCTTCACCTGTCAGAGATATGTCGAATAATAAAGAATCATTAGAGGATATACATTTATGAGATTATCTCTTACCTAATTACGGAGCAAAAGAAGGAATTAGTCTGCTCGATGCATATACACGAGAGGAATTAACCAATAGATTGATTATCCAAATTGACCAAAAAGATAAACAAGCACCAAAGTTTTCTGTCATAGATGACATATCTAAGATATATGGATTACCTGGAATTCATGAATGTATTAATGGGCAATGGCTTTTAAGACCAGTAATTGATATTAATGCATCTAAAGAAAGAATAGAAGCTGAAAACATTAATACTAAAAATGTGTTTTTCAGCATTTGTTGTTCATTTGTAAGAGCATTGTATCGAATTCTTGATTGTAGTTGGAAAGAAATTATTAAAGAATTAGTAATTATGACATTATCTGATGATAATAAATGCAGTTATTACCTTCTATACACTCCAGCTCTTCTTGTTGATTATCTAGAGCTAAAAGAATTTACAGAATTAGTATTCAGATTAACTGGAGAAAAATATAAAAAGTTTATTGATCGAGGATTACCTGGTAGAAATTTCTGTCTCCGCTTAATTGGTTCAGCAAAAAAAGATCGCATGAAGCGCATACTTCAATTCTCACTAGATAATGAGTAGTACAATCTCAATGACAGCCGAGTTCAACTACCAATTAATATGAATTTAGAAGTACGCCCTCGCATACTTAGTGTAGAGAAAATAAATCAGAAAAAAATAATCGTTGGTCAAGATTCACTAAAAAAATATGCTAATCTAGTTCTGCAAGAATATTCTGATTATCTTGGAGGGTGGGATATCGAAGAAAAAAATTCTCAGTATTTCTTATACTTTAATCGGAAAGCATATCTAGAATGTCTGCTTTGTGAACGCATACATGACAAGGATTAGCGGTGGTTCGGTCGCGTGCATTATGATGGTTCGTTCATTGTAAAATGCTTCCAGCAAAATCGTGACAAATCAGAGAAAATTTTCAATGACCCATCTATCGCAGAAAAAATCAGCAAAAAAATAAAAATAATGTTCCTCCACCCATTTCTCATAAAATAAAGGGCCCTAAGTTCTCAAAACCCTTCTTAGAAATGCTGGGTTGGGTTAAATATAATGAACCCCTTACCGTATCAGAAAGATATAAAGAAAGATATGTAAAACCTTTATCTAAAGAAAATGATATTTATATAGGTTCGCGTTGGGGAACGGGAAAAACATATGCTATAGAAAATTTAAATATTCCAGAAAATACAAGCTTACTCATAGCATCGACTCGACACACATATTTGGATGCTATTACTAGCAGGCTCAATCTCAAATCATATTGTGATATCGATGGACCTATAAATCTGAGAGAGCATCAAAGGGTAGTATGTCAGGTGAAAAGTTTATATTGCATTACTAATAAATGTAATGTGATAAAAAATGTAGGTCTTTAGACCATGCTTCGCATAAATGTCCTCCAAATCCTTACATTCTAGTATTAGATGAGATTCTATTAATTATCTTGCAAACACAAACTTGTTTAAGTGGTTTGTCTATATCTCTTGCCAATTTCTCAGAATTAATTACTCAGGCAGAAAGAGTTATTGTACTAGATAATGATCTCACTGACCTTAATATTGAATGGATTAAAGGACTTTGACCAAATAGGAAATATTCAGTTATCCACAACACATACCAGCTCCAAAAAGGTAAAATATTCCGTCTAGCTTCTGATAAAAAAACTGTATTGATAGAACTCTGGGGATGGGCCAAGCAAATGACATCATTACCTTTTGAGAAGTGAAAAAGTGCATCTCTTATCTGTCATGAGAAGAAAAATATTCAGGATATTGTTCGCGCTCTTAGAGCTGATTTCCTGGAATTGCGTATAAAAGAGTATCATGGTAAGTCAGACCCAATAGAGAAAACTTGAAATTTTAGAGATGTAGATAATGCATAGAAAAATATTGATCTTGTTGCATATACCAGTACATTAAAGATAGGGGTTTCTTGCATCAATCCTAAGTTTGAGCGAGCATTCTGTATCTTCAGTAGTTATATAGAAACAAATGCTGGGACAAATCAAATGTTATTCCACATGCGATGCATTAAAGATTATATATGTTATATTCAACAAAGGGCATCTAAAGCCCCAACTACAGAAGAGGGGTTGTTTCAATGGTTAACAGAAGCAAAATGCGGATGTCTTCCCCAAGAGCTTCAGAATAGAGGAATATTTCCAAATATAGATACTATTATTCGAAATAAAGATGTCCCAACTATCCGATTATGGGTGGCATATATGATGGAAAAATTTCGCTCTCAACATCTTTTTGGTTGGAGAATGGTTGATTTTCTCCGAAAGGCAGGTATGGTAGTTTCAGTAATAGAACCAACTCCCAAACCTGAAGATAATACTATGTTATTAACTGAAACAGTAAAGGAATGTTCTTCGGTTATTAAAGCAGAGGAAATTTCAGACCTTGCAAATGCAAATATTATTAACCGTGAAACGGCTGAGCATCTAGAAAATAAACCAAAGAAAACTTTAGAAGAAATGCGAGCATTAGACTGGCACTATATTGTAAATTGCTATAATATAGCACCTGAGTCTTTGACTAAAGAATTTATCTCAGAGTTTGGAAATTATAATCATATGCGCTGGTTTAGAGCTCTCCAGAAATTATGAGATGCAGACACTAATAATGAGACAGCAGTTGAGGCAATTTCCCATGAAGATTATAGAAATGATAGGCTCGCAACTGTTACTAGAGCTGAAAAACATCGAATTTGTCTTGGATTATTAAAAATTTGTACACTCGTTAAAGATATCGATGATAGAAATAAATATAAAACTGATATTGTTAAAACACGATTAGAATCACCTGAATCTATAAAATATTTCCAAGAATTAGTTCCTAAAATGGCTTGGTTTTTGATAATACAGATGCATTCTGACGTGCCAAAAAATCTGGATTAAAAACTCTTAGAGCAAAACTTGGTTTATTAAATTCAGCACTTTATGTAACTTACAGTTTGAAGCTCAAAGGTACAAATAACAAGCATACACATTATCATCTAGTTGGAGCGTTTAATAGTATATATGCCTATGCATATACACCTGAGTTGCCACTATACCAGACGGGTGAGGATTGGGATAATAGAGAAGATTGGCGATATGGGTATAATAAACTCTCACCCGATGAAATAGAAACTTCTCCCAATTCTATCTCACAGAATACTCAGAACTTATTTGATATCTGTTAATGTATGTATCTATTTAGTAATGGTCTGTGACATATTTTACAAAGGAGGTTTTTGTGATGCTTAAAATTGATACTTGTAAAAAAATCCATTACGAAGACCATTTTTGTGACGCTTAAAATTGATATCTATAGTTATATAGTGCCTACCTTCGGCAAAAGTGAGTATAATTACACATCAGCTTCTATTCTTTGCGCCTTTTGTCTCTTATACCAATTTCGAAAATAACCTCTCTTCGCATGCTTAGGACAGTATTCCGTCCCGGAATTGTTTCCTTTTCCGCAGATACCACAAGGAATTTTTGCTAAATTTTTTGCCACATTTTTTTCATATAATTTCCAGTGCAACGAACACCCTTCAGGTTGCCAGCAACTTTTTCTGCAAATCGAGCCATCTCTTTTAATATATGGACAGGTAAAACGTCTCGAACTATCTCTTTTAACGTATTGATCAGTTGAACACCCCATTCAAAGTGTTTTAATGTATAACGTATAAAACCCGTTTTACTTTTTATGCAAATATATTTAATATAAAACCAATTTAAATCTTTTTAGGCTTTAATAATATATTATGTGTTGGAGATACTATTCGAAATATTGCTTATAACCTCTCATATTCCATGAAACTCTGTATAAATACTAACAAATTTTTTTACTTACATTTTCATGTATAGTATATAAAAATCAATTTAAACTTTTTCAAATTATTTTGTAATATTATAATCGAACATATATTGACACTGTATATCACATCAATACTATATAAAAATGTATACTGAAGACCCAGAATATAACAAAGAGACGATTACCTCAGATAAGTTATTCAAATTAGCTAGGCAATTGAAAAAACCAAAAATCTATAACCCCAGAACTAATCGTATGATTGTAATCGATGGACCAGCATATAATGTTTTGATACGTGATGGTTATATGCATTGGAAAGAGAAAAAAGTTTTAGTCCCTCCAATTCATAAAAAATTAGTATTGGGTAAATGGTTTATGTTCATATCTAATCGTATTTGGGATATTGTACACAATCCAGAAAAAAGTTTACTTTCATTAATTGATAGAAAAACAAGTTTATTACAAGTATTACTCGAAGTATATAATGATTATGCTATATGTAAGTTATTAAAAATAGACTGGAATAACAGAGAAACTCGGGAATGGAGAAATGATATACTTGCAAGATTCCTCAATCATCCAAATTTAATTCCATCAAAACATAGACCAAATGCATTATACGACGCGTTTATAAAGAGCAATGTTTTAGAGCTGGATCATATACTTGCTTTAGCCCAAGCATTGTAAAAAATAAAACGATAAAACCAAATGATGTTACTATAGCCTGAGTCTCCACAACTCGAAGCTATAATTTTTTTTCGTTATATCCTATATGTTAGTAAATTTCAAATTGATATCCTACTTACTTTATAGATATACATAACCTTTTTTTTCTGGATATAGGAGGAAAAAGCGTAATTAATTTCGAATTAAAAAAAATAAGTAGGTTAATGTATAATCACATTCTACTTATCGATATAGATTATTTACATATCTATCATGGCAACTGTCCGAAAAACTAGAAAACCCAAAACTAATAGCTTTACCTCCATTTTGAATTAGGTTCTTAATAAATATAACCTATCGGCTAAATCAAACCCACTTTAATTACGTGCTCATGCCGATGAGCTTAGTACTATGCTACCGGATTGGAAGGCTCGTAAAGATGTGAAAGAGGCTCTCCGTCGGCGCTTATTCAAAGAAAATCAAATAGGAGTTCTTGTGCCAGACAAAAGAAAGAAAAAGCTCATCATTGAAAAAAGAGCTCTCTATTGTGCCAAAACTGGTGATGAGTAGGATATTTATATCCATGCTCTCAATTTAGGTTCAAAAAGTAATGACGAAATCGTTGCCTCCTGTTCGCGACTCTCTCTATTTCGTAATAAATTGGCAAAAGCTGGTATTGCTCAAGAACCTATTGATATTTATGCTAAACTTCTAGGTGTTACCACGGCTTCTAACAAAATTCAGAAAGAATGGACTGAACAAGATGTAGCCAATAATCAGTTAAAAATTCCACCACATTTCTCCTTAGAAAAAGGACTTAAAAGAATTCAAAACATTGATACTACCAAAGATCCCTTATTACAGGATCTCGCAAATGTAATAATGATGTTGTGTATGAGACCTGCTGAAGTATTCAGCCTCCAGATTGATCACTACGAAGTTGACCCATCTAATTCTTCAGCATGGTATAAAAATGGTTATTCTTGGTATTGCACTGAATATGCTAAGAATAAAGGAGAAAATAAGGATGATCCAGAACCTCGCCCATTCCTATCAATGGAGAAGAACCCAGAACGTGCAAGAGCATTGCTTATCTGGATTCAAGAGGCTATAAAGGCTAGAAAGTTAAGTGATCCTACCTTTAGTAAAAATGGAAAGCGCAATACTAGGGCATTTAGCAAGTTTTTGAAGCCTTATAAAATCACGCCTAAAATATTAAGAAAAATAGGAGAAAAGCATGCCTGCAAAGTTCACGGTGGTCCAAACCCAACTCATCAGCATCTTGATCTTCTTAACAGAATAGCATTGAGGCATAAGATTGTTCGTCTAGATGCGGGAAAGAATTATGCTATAGGCGATACAGAATTAGAAGACTCTGACCTCGAATCCGAATCTGACCAAGCGCCTAGTCCAATCTCTGGATCTCAGGCCTCATCATTCCAACCTAAAAACAATAATTCTAATCCCTTTGAATCTCAAATAGCAGAAATTGATTCAATGCTAGCTAGCTTCTAAAAAACTGCTATATTCTAAATCATATCTTAGCTCTTTCGATAAAATAAATATATGAAGGCGTTTTTATTTTTTAGGTCAGATAAAGAAGTAGAACAGGTGCTCAAAGCAATGACAATCTAGCTATCTTCGACAAACCTTCACAATTTATTTTTTTTATCTAGTAGAGAAATCAGTTAAGATACGTGCAGTGAAAATTTAGTAAATGAAATAAAAATATCTTAGTCAGATAAAACAATACATTTGATATATAATGCATTCATACAACTCGCTCAATATTCAAGATATTTTTGAGGAATGGACAAAAAATAGTTATACCCAATACATGTTAACTGAATATGGTTTAAACTATATCAATAATTTTAAAATGCCAGAAGCTTGGTTACGATTTGTAAAGTATCATCCACCCAAATATATACGTAAATGTTTATTAATACTAGGATATGATATTATTAGTAAGGACCATTGGAAAAACTTTGTATTCCATATTAAAAATAATCTAACCAGAAATGAATTCATAACTAATCACTCTGAATTTAGAGAATTTTTAATCCAAGTAACATATTTTAAAACTTTGTATATAAAAAATCAATCGACTATTATCATCCAGCGAGCATATTGTTTATGAAAAAAATGAATAAATTTAACTATAATAATCCAGCGAGCAGTGAAGAAATGGCTTTATTAACCAGGTAGACCATTAATGAAACATGCTCAAGATCGGTTTTATCAAAATGCTAATAAACTTGAAAATTCAAGGTAATTCAGGAGATTTTTAACACAGGTAAAAAAATGTCGATGTGAAATAAAAATCTATGAAGTGTATGCCCCCTTTTCTTCACGATTGCCATCAAAGATCTAGCGATCCTCTCATACTAATTAATTTGTAAATGAATGGATCGCCAAATCCGAAATTAGTTTTCATAAATCTGTCAATTGACTTTTTTTGAAATTATGAAAATAACTGCACTAATCTTTTGTGTTACTTCCGAGATGAGCAGTCCTGATATGATACTTGATATAGAGAAAATAGGTTGGTAATTGCTTCTAAAATAGAACCGAATATGTCTTTTCATGAAGTATTTAATGATAAATCTAAGCGTGTTCACAAATTTTGAGATCCTACTCTGAAAAATGGAAAATATTATAAACTTAGTAATTAATGCTCTATCAAAATTGTTGTTAGCAAAAGTTTCTTCTTCTCAAATAACAATAGAAGATGCTATTGGAAATGTATCCAAGGCCTCTTTATTCCACTGGTCTGTTAATAAAAACTCAGATGAGATTATGCAACAGACTGTCCAAGATTCAGACCTAATAATGCATCTATTAAAGCCTTACCCTAGTTTATATCATTCGCATGAAAACTCTAAAAGGGTTGGATACAAAAATCATACCAATATCTCTAAATCGAAAAAGAGAAAAAGAGATGTTAGTCCTTATAATATAAAGAAAAATTCAAGAAAGCATATAAAGAAAAATTCAAGAAAGCGTATAAAAAAACACTCCTCAAATTCTAATAATGTAATGAGTGGCCTAGATTCTCAATATGTCAAGCAAAGTATATGAATGCATTCATACAATATAAGCATCCTTTAGGCTTAAATCAAAATATGTCGTATATATCACTGGTATCTGATACCAAAACACAATTATGTCTAACTTGTAGATTCGAATCTATTTTTTTTACGAATGAATGTCGGTTTTTTTTGATGTATTAGCCATATTAGATCTAGTAATGTATTAGTTACCATAATAAAGGAAACTAATTCATTTTATTTTTTATCTATACCTGGTTAATTGTATACTAATTAGATTGAAACAAGAAATTTTCAATATAATGTAGGTGCCGAGACTTCGACTTTTCAGAAATAATTTATAAATGGACTGATCGACAAATCCGAAATTGGTATGAAATAAATATTATATAAAAATAATCTAAGTATAAGGAAATTTTGTTTGTAAAGCTTATCCGGGTCTACTTGATCTAATGCCTCTCTCTGACCTTCGAACCTTTGCATATAGCATTTTAAAAAATCTTAATGATGAAATCATCAGAGATAAAGAATTTACGGAGCTTGATACATGCTCAGAATGTGATAAAAAAATTCTTATACACAACTACGAACCATTGACAATCCTCTCATGTGGTCATGTATACCACAGATATTGTGTTGAAAAATTTTTACTTACGAAAGAAAATAAATGCCCTAGTTGTGATAAGGTCATTGAGCCTAAAATATCGTTAGAAACACCAATTAATTCTCCCAATCTTAGTAGTAAAAAGCGAGGTAGTGATTCTACAGAAAAATTCTCTAGTAAAAAAATTCAGCCAGTTAATAGGGATAGTTCACCAACTTTAAAGAAGTTAATTAAAGAATTGACTACTCCAATTTCCAGGCAAATTTCATCAGAAAACATTATTACTTTACAGTCAGATATTTCTGAAATGAACATAGATTCAGTTAATTTTCGCGAATTAAATGAAAAGATTATCAAAGCTGAAGATAATAATCAAAAAAACAATCAAGACGTAATACGTTCATATTATTATTTCGGAAAAGGATATAATTTATGGTATGATTTTTACAGGCAATCTAATAATGAGGACGCGTCTAATGCTTTAGTTAATGATAAAATCCGAGAGCATATTCCTGATCAAGATAAAATTACTGAGACTAACCTTCGAAAAAGAAAAGAAAGGGCTAAAAAAGTTTTCAAACTTTTCAATAGTATTGGCGGCGAAAAAATAATAGATCGTGTTAAATCTTTTTTTGCATCAAATATTTCAAATCTAAGTCTAGACGATATTGATTATGTAATAGCAAAGGTTTTAAAAGCATCATCTGATTAAAAATAAATTACTACGCCACTGTGACAACCGATGTCACACCTCTTCAGGCGTAAATAATAAAGTTTTTATTTTTTGTTTTTTCGATAATTTGACTATATACAAAAATATTCATTAACGCACAAAGTGCAGGTTTGATAAAAAATTAGCCACATAAATATTATTTTTTTTCCGTTAATATATAACAATGAAAGAACGTAGTTCACTTACAAATAAAAATTATATCGAAAAGTGGCATATCTTTAGAGGCTGGAAGCACGGGTGTAAGGTTTGTGACGAATGCGACCATCATTCGCATCTATATTGCAAAACGTGCAAAAAAGTAGCGAATTGAATATATAAGCGATGTGAATGTGAAAAATTTAAGAGAAGCAAGAAGTGAAAGCTTCATTATTTCATAATAGCATCGAATCTTTGACTCATCTATTATGTCCTCGAATAATTATATAAAAATAAAAATCAGAATTAGCGATTTGGTAGTAATAATATCGATAGCAATAAAGTTTTATTTTCCGTTTTTTCTATATAACGATACGTACAGTGATATCCGTTAACATGTGAGAATAAATTCCACATTCCGTAATTCCACATGCTTACCTAATTTGTATCACCGTACGGGGCACTAACTTATATATAAAGTTCAACTTAGCAGGTGAATTTTTCTTCTCCTAAAAAAAGTTTTGGATTAGTTCAAAGATTATTTAATCACTAAATTTTCATGCCTAAATTCATGTACAGCAAAGATACCAAGTAAAAACGAAAGACTATTTTCTCCTTTCAAGTTTAAAACATATACATATAGCACAGTAAATATGTAATCATTTACTCATGCTGTTTTTAGTAAGTTACTAACCAATTTTAATATTATCCGTGGCCGCAGAAAATGACCGATGACAATATAAACGAGTCGAAAAAATGCTCAAGTTCTATAGTAACGATGTGGGTACTTCTTGAAGGGGAAGCGAGTGCCATAGAAGTTGACATTGATCAGAAAAATTATATGACTCGTAGTTTCAACTTAGACCGCCTTAAACCTATTCTTCGTGAAATATTCGAAGATCTTAAGAACGTTAAGCCAGAAAAAACCGAATTTTTTACCTTTAATGACCGCATAAATCCAATTCCACCAGGAACCAACCTTAATTCCCTATCCAGGAGTACAACTGACACTGCACCACTTGTAGTCCGGTATCCTCTATCAACTTCAACCGGTAAGTCGAAGATTTTTTATTTTTTTTTGCATTTACACCAATAACTTATTTTTTTTATTCCAATTTTCAGTCATTGTTCGTTGCAATCTTTCAACATCATGGTTTAAGTCTAGTTTCCCACATACTAGCGGGCTCTGGTATCTCGTTCGTAATGTTGCAGAATCAAAGTTTCAAACCCTGCGATTAGATAAAGTTCAATATAGTTTCATTCATAACGAGAATAATAGCAAACAACAAATAGAAAACGAATTTCAGTTCAACAAAATGATAGCGGACATTACACCGAATGAAAAAGATAAACGTGAAATCAGCATTTCAATCCAAGTAACTGGTAACGCCAATACTTTGAATATTGTTAGGGTTCAGCTTGTATATATATTTACTCGCTTTTCATTTATAGGCAGGAAGGCCTACGGTGATTGGGAAATTGGCGAGGCCCTAAATGAGTTCTTGCATCAAAGAGGTTCAACTATGTTTGATATTCGATCTTTTAGCATTGATGATCTTCCGAGATCTAACCCCCCAATCTCCGAAGAGGCTATTGCCCAACTTATTGCTGACCTTAAAAAAAGGAAGAGTGCATTTGGCATTGTCAATCGAAATGAATCAACTTGTCGAGAGTTCATCTCGCCTTTAAT